TATGCTAGCAACATAGAATCATGACATAGATCGTCATACACTTTGTTATTAACAGTTGTATGGCATCCTGACTTAGCGGTTAAGTGAGTTTTACACGGGCGTGTGTTGTAGTTGACTCCAGCTGCAGCCAGACCCTGCTTTAAATACACTTTGAAACCATGACAACACATGTATATCTATATAGTTATCATTGAAAACAATTTAATGACTTATGTTCATGATAACTTGCTACGTATGGTGAACTGACAACTCCTCTGACGGTCGGATTTCTTAATGCATGTATGCTATCCTGACAGCGTATGGCTATCTGATAGAACAACGGCTCTCAGTGAGTGACACTCCAGTCCTATCTAACAAGTAAAGAGCCGTGGAGAAGAATCAACTGTTTCTGAATGTCACCTCACTACATTTTGGACATAGCGTTGTCCCATATATGCGACAAGTCAGTCAACATCTCCGCACAATAATTCAGGCAGTGAGTGATAACATTTTTCATCACAATGCTTATGTGTCTCTGTACAGCTAGCTTTGCTAACATCACATCAACGGAGCTTACCTTCTTTGAGCTACTTTTCTAAGTGACGAAAAAAATTAAGACGTTGTCCCCACCGTCTGTGAAAGCGAAGCGCTGCTGAGTTAGCTGTGGTCATCGGATTTCTTCAATTACAGACGATTAGACAAACATTTTCTGCCGCTGAGAGGAAACCACTGCGCATGTCCTGGAGCGCCACGCGCGAGTGAAAGGTGGGGAGGGGAGGGGGAGGGAGAGTAAAAGGTGAGGAGGGGAGGGGGGAGTAACAGAAACACATAGTTGCTTGGATTTTAATCGGTGCGTTTTGCATCCACTGAAAACAAAGATGTTAACAAATAAAGTGGACAGAATGCTGTACGTTTAGTGATATTTTCACAGTTGCGGTCTCGACTGGTCTTGAAATAAAATGCCGAGTCCTCAGAGCCCGAGACCATCTCGAGTACTACAACAATGAAAAGCATACAAAAATAATTTAATATTTCTGCCAATCCACCAACAGTAGAGCTACGTTTTTATTGGCGTTTAGCGGTTTTACTGAGTTGAGTTGTTGTTCGAGGGTGCCAGCTTTCAAGGTTTTATTGATCTACTGTTAATAAATTTTATGATTTCTTAACTCCTTTTATAGATCGTCATTTTTTAAATGAAAAATTCAAAGTGCAAATCAGAATTTCTTTGGGATTCTTCAGTCATCACCACATCAAACAAATATTCAGGAATTTAAAAACATTTCCAGCCCATTAAATGTTGCAGCTGATAAAATCTCCCTTCATTTACCGAGAAAGTTCTGGAAAACCGACCCGTCTGACCTCTCAGTCTGCTGCTCCATTTCACTTTACAAAGCCAAAGCTGACACTGAACGACATGAGGATTTTATCCAGGTTTTATTACTTTTATAAACATAAAGGGAAACTACAGAACACAATGGGAATCATACATAAAAACAATAAACTAATAATTTAGTTCAGTTTCTTTAACAATGAAAAAAGAATCTGCTTTAGGACAAAGTCACAAGATGCAACGTGTGTTTTTCTACTTTTACAGAAACATTTCCAGTTTTAACAACTTTTCTTTGATTTCTTGTTTCAGATAATCTATTTGGGGAAAATGTTGGCTCTCAGAGTAGCTGTGAGCAGTGACTATCTTACCCGGTGTAAACGGCGGTCAGAGTGACCCGAGTTTGGAGAATCAGAGAGAATTTCTCAGGAGTGAAACTAACAGCAGCTCAGATCAGATCAGTTAGCATCGCATGCTAGCTGATACACACCCACTCTGATCATTTGGCCAAAGTAAATTTAAAAAGTATCTCCAGTTGTGAGAAATTTAAATCTTAATTTGACATCTATCAGACCAGCGTCATTGATATAAATTACTGGCCTGGACGTCGACATTGTGCAGGAAAATGACATAAAAACTATTAGAAAAAGAGGCGTGATGATTTACTATCCATCGTCTACAATCACATTTCACAGCTCAGGGAAACATCGAGAAAAAAAGAATAGAGACGTCAGTTAGCTGAGCTAGCTTAACATGCAGATGTGAATTCAGGGTTTTTTCTTTCACAGTAAAATGAGGCGACTCAATGACAGAAGGTTAAATCATCTAACAAACCGCTGCTGTTTCAGACCATCACTCATCATACCACATTCTGAATTGTTTTTTGGCAATAATTTTTAAAGTGTTTAACTTTATTTTATAGAAACTAGACAAGAAATAAAGACGCGCTGCGTCTTTTTCTGTGGCAGATTCCTGCTCATCCTGCTTTTCTGTGACTCCATGAAGACTAATGGCTGCAGCGGCTAAGAGGCGCCGTCCTGTACAGTCATGCAGCTCGATGAGCTGCAGCAGCCAATACAGTCTCACTTCCCCTATAAATATCAGGCAGTTAAATTGTTTTAATTTTTGTATTTTTATCCGGTTTGACTAATTATTTCTGTGTGCAAATATTTTAGTATTTGATTAAATTGTGAAGCAGCTTTTGTTCTGTGTTGGAAAATGTGGAAACAATCATATTTGTTAGATGAGGAAAATGATGCTTCATGCAACGAGTCTAAACCCAAAGTGACGGAGTTCAGACTCAACGTTTGGCTGCAAATTAAAGTGCCTGAGAACCGTTTGACCCGAGAGGCCAGAGAAACGGCTCCAGGCAAAAATAAAGACAAGAAACATTCAAAATTAACACAGAAGCATAAAGTCAGAACTCGAACCTAACAGACCGTTTATCTGCAAAAACAAGTTTCATCATAAAGATCAGGTTTGTGTCGCTTCAGGCTGCAGTGTGAAGATTAGACAAAAAAGGCATTTCCTTCTACAGAGTGCAGGATCAAACCCGGTGTGTGTGTGTGTGTGTGTGTGTGTGTTAGCGGGCCGTGGTGGCCGGCGCCCGCAGCGCCTCCTGGAAGTGGTTGCAGTTGGGGTCTCCTCTGACTCTGGGCGTCTCCGGGATCTGGACGCCCGTCAGCGGGTCCACGCACCAGCACTCGCCCCGCTGGCCGTGGGTCGACATGTTGCACTGCAGGAGGCACAGAAACAGCCAGGGGAGGGGCACAGGAGGCACAGCAGGTTAATGAAGCATGGAGGTGTGTGTGTGTGTGTGTGAGGCAGGGTGAGGGATCTTCTTCATTGGATAAGAGCGAGGGCTCTGGTCCGGGTGGGACCACATTCATCCAGTAATAACCCGACCTCGCACGCGCACACACACACACACACACACACACACACACTCCTCTCTTAAATGAGGTCGTGACGGGAGCGGACTCAGTTCACGAGGGGAAACCAAGTTTCTATTTTCTTCCTTTCATGAGGAAGAACAAAGAAGTGACAGTTACAGTAATAAGCGCGCGCTGCGGTGCGCTGCGGCGCGGCGTGAACACTCCAAGTGTGGAGGAGGAGGAGTGATGCATCCTGGGAACTGAGGAACAGTGCTGCTGTCTGTGAGCAGAGATCCTTCAGGAAGGCGTGGTGCCTTGTCAGATCCTCCGCTCTGCTCTTCTGACTCCCTACGATCAAACCTGGACGTGTGACCTTGTTTGTCCTGCAGCCTCTGATTTCTGCGGATGAGCAGAACTGAACCATCGGAAGCACAACTCGTTCCCGGCTCAACCAAAGTCTTCCCTGGAGCTTCATTAACGCCAAACACTTTTACTGCCTTGTAACCTTCAGCTCAGGAGCCTGTTGTCTTGTTCAGGATTAATCATCCTGTCACGCCTTGGTGTGTGTGTGTGTGTGTGTGTGTGTAGGCAGGATGCTGAGGAACAGGAGGCTGAAGGATGGATCAGTGAGTTAAACATCCTGATCATCTCGACACACAGATGCTGTAAATCTTTATCTCTGCTGCCAAAATTAAATCTAAAATTGTAATTTGTCTTCATGTTTGTATTTAGAGTGGGGTTATGTGGAGTAGCTATGAGCAGTCAATGATCTATGGAGGACTTTCAACTAATCAGATTAATCATGATTAATGGATTACAGCTAATTTAATTGATTAATCATTCACTGGAGTACAGACTCATAAAAAGACACTCAGAGCAGTAATGCAGAAAAACTTTCCAAAAATTATAAACATTTTAAAAACTATCTGTTCAATCCATAACTCCTCTAGTTGAAGTTTTAGCTTCACCTGGTTCACATTCTGGAAACAAATATCTCCAATTAAATCATATTTTGCATCTAACTAATTAATTCATAAACTAATCACCAGATCAGCATCACTGTTCAGTCCAGCAGAAACGACTCAGTTTTTCACATCTTGTTTTAGCTGCAGAGGATCAAAGCTGCTGCTGCATTTAGACAAGAAAACTTTTATTTTCTTATTTAAAAGGGATATATTAGCTTATCTGCATCTTTATATTACTCATTTAGTTTAAAAACTTAGTTTACTGTTGAGTAAAAAAGTCAGTATTTGTTTCTTTTCCCCCTTATTTTATGTTTTGGCCTGTCAGTCATTTTGACTGCATGATGTTGATCCATGTGATAAAAGGTTTGGTCGCCCTCCTGCGTTGTGCGGATTGATTGTTCCATGAAGGTTGCAGGTTTAAATCCCAGCCTGGCCTCTCTGTGACTAAAGTTAAACTGCAGACTGACCCCAGGTCGGCTCACCTGCTTCAGGTTGTACAGTCCGTGTCTGTCACAGTTTGGGAACTTGAGGCCGTACAGGTTCTCCAGCGGGCCCCGGTTGTCCTCTGAGGTCATCCTGGAGATCTCCTCCAACACCATGTCCAGCTCCTGCTGACAGGAGCTCTGGTGGAAACACAGCAGAAACACACGCTCATGTTAAAACGGAATGACCTTTGACCTTGACCTGTATCTGCATGGTGTTTTGCTTCAGTGATTATAAAGGAAAACAAATGTACAGTCCGCTCACGGCCACGTACAGCTCTGTGACCTCTGATGCCCACCCTCAGTTTACCCTCCCCCCCTGCTTGGCCCCGCCCCCTGATTGGCTTTAGCTTCCCAATAAATCATTTAGTTCGGAGTTAAACAATTAGCTTGCTATATTTGGTTATAAAATATTTAGCTACAAACTAAACATTTTGCTCATTAACTAAGTTAGTTAGTTAGTTTGAATCCAACTGTTTACCTCCAAACTAAATATTTCTAAGATGTTGTGGAGCGAACGTTCAGAGTTTTATAAAGCAGGACCCAGATTGGGTCCAGTCGGTGTGAGTTGTCGCGGTTCTGACCGGCGGGTCTCTCTGGACTCGCTCGTCGTGCAGGCTGGTCCTCATCCTGGTTCTCAGCTCATTCTGAGTCTGAAGCCGGGCTTTCTCCTGCCGGTTCCAGGGGTCCAGCAGGGGCCTCTTCACCAGAGGACTCTCGGTGCTGTGCACCTCTGCAGAGAGACACAACAGGAAAACAACCTTTACATGAGCTGCATGCAGCCGGCGGTTCGGCCCGCCTGCTTTTAACCCCCGCCTGGAGCTTCCTCCAGATCTGCAACCCGTTTGGTTTCTAAAACGACTCCGTCCTGCTAACAGGCGCTCTTTACAAGCGCAGGTCTTAATCCTGGAATTACAGGACAATGTCAGTCTGTGTCCTCGGGGTGTCCTGCGCCTCCCGGTGACTAATGCTCCGCCGAACACTCAGGTGCTGCGACGGCTGCAATTACCGTGGCGACAGTGAGGTCACAACCTATAAAGCTCCGGTTGGGCTTTCTGAGGCAGAAATTATGACCCAGATTCCACAGATTTCCTCTGAGACGGCGTGGAGTCCTGCAGCTCTTCAGATGCGTCTTTGTTCCGACGCAGCGCGGTTAAACGGCTAATTAACGCAACTTCATGTTGTCAGAAACACGGAGGTTCAAAGGACTTTACATGATAAAAACAACAGGAAGTCATTAGGAACAAGCAGGAATCATTATATTTAGTCAAACACCATCATCAAGCAAACATGCATCATGTTTATTAATCAACGTTCCAGTTATGAATCAACAGGTGACAGAAGGCCGACTTTGTAACAGTCTCTATGTGACTGTGAACGTTCAGGTCAAAGGTCAGCCTCCAGCTGTAATAACTGAAGCTGAGAGCTGATTCTAGATGGTTCCTCTTTAAATCCAAACAGAATAACTTCAGTTTTTTAAAGCGGTGACCTTTGAACCCATCTTTGGACACCTGCTCTAAAAGATAAAACTTGAACTAAATCAGGTTCTCTGGAGGTTTACAAAGTTTAAAGCTTTTGCTCGTCATTCCTTCCTCCGTTAGAGAACATCACTGATTCTCAGCTGGTTTAAGGTCTGAACTTTGACTAGGCCGCTAATCTAAATCATCCCATAACATCTCTGGCTGGATGTTTAGAGTAACTGGTCTTCTGCAGCCTCTAACCTCCCCATCCCACAGCATGATGCTGCCACCTTCATGTTTCGCTGTGGTGACGTGTGCTGATGGTTCTGACCCGTCGCAGTGTCGGTTATGCTGCTCTGAGCAGAGCGCCTTCATGCTGGCAAACTGAAAATGTCACATTTATCTTCAGAAAAAGTCAGCTTTTTAGTTTGCAGAAACTGATTCCACTCGCTAAAAATCCTGAAAGCCATTTTGTGTCGTCCTCTTCCCGACTTCACACAGCTTCACGAATCAAATAAAATCCCGGGTTTGCAGCTTTTTGCTCACTGAAAGTAGAACAGGAAGTCAGAGCAGAGCTGAAAGCCTGAAACGGAGACAAACTTGGACAGTAACTGCATTGATCAGGATTCAGAGCCTCGACACTTTTGTTAGCAAGAAGGAGCCGAGAGTCGAGGATTTCAGTCCTGGGAGTCCAGACTTGTAAGGAGGCAGAGCCGATGCTGAGTCAGCAGCTCGTTCCTGCCAGAGGCTTCGAGCTGCGGCTGGTGTCGGTGTAATTAGCACCGAAACAGAACGCAGAGGCAGTAAATCAGCTCCGCGTCCTGGAGCCGTGTGTTTACACACACACACACACACACACACACACACCAGGTGGGAAACCTGCAACAGCCTGACTCAGATTTTATTTTCTGATGTGAAATCTTACAGAAAAAATTACATTTAAAGATGTCACTTCATTACTCCATTTAAACAAATGTTTGTTTCCTTTATTTATCCAAATGTTGACATTTCCACCCCTGGCCAGCAGGTGGCAATGTTATCCGTTTCAAAAAACAAGGCAAACTTTTTAACCCCTTCATGCACAAATTTATATCCAGGTGTGACAAAAAATCTACATCACTTCTGTTTTTGTAGTCAGATGTTAAATACTTGAGTATAAATTTGGACATTTCATCAGCTAGTGTAAATTTAAGTATGATGCTAGATCCACCCAGGGTTTTGCTGTTGAATGGTTGCCATGGAGATTGAAGGATTTCTCAAACATGAAAGACTCAAAGCAAAACTCCAGAGAAAAACATCATAACATGAAAGATATAAAAAAAGTATATTTTACATGATACTGGCCCTTTAACGCTGCGATATGTAACTTTTATAAACAAAATGTTTTTATTACATATTTGTTAAAACTGTCACCGTGTTCTGACAGTATGAGCCAGATAATTTATTAAAATAATGGAGCTCTTCTGTCTCTTCCCAGTAGTCCTGCTGCCATTTGCAGAAAAGAACCATCCCCATCAGAAACAACCAATCAGAACCTGGAGGAGGGTCTTAGCACTGTCAATCACCCTCATGTACAACTCCTTGCTCTCTGCAGCTAGTTCCTGCACAGCAGAGTATGCCACAGATGCTAATGCTAGTTAGCATGGTTAGTACAGCCACTGATGACTGAAGATAAACGGTTTTTCAGTAATGGTAAGTTGTTTCTCTGCCATTAGCAGTTTGAGCAGCGCGTACACGAGGGTGAAGAACATAGCAGCATCTGGAATAACTGGACTGAGGTTTTCTATATTAGCCACAGTGCAGCCATGTTGGTAGACTATTGGATGGACGTGTTTAGAAGCCCAACCTGAGTCAGCAGCCTTTGCTGAAGCTCAGTCGTGTTCAGAAGGTATTTTGTGATCGTGTGTCAGACCTGCGTAACCATGGCTACAGCCCGTAGCTACCACCTGGCCTCCAAACAGCGTTTGTTCTGTCTAAGCGCCTTAGAAACTACCTGTCTGAAGCTGTGGAGGGTTGGCTTTGGCTCATGCCTTTGAGCGATGCTTTCACAGCTTTCTCAACACGCACAATGAATAATGAGCGCCTCTCCAACTGTTGCTTCTCATTAATGCGTTTGCCCTGTTATCTTATGGAGGCCCGTCTCAGACAGCCGTCAGGGCCTTTGATGGCCGGACAATGCACCATTGTCTGCATGAATGCCTCTTCCTGACGGCCGGCCACTTCAAAGGTGCCGAATAGTTCATGCTGTCGGCTTTCAGCGGTTGCCTTTATGCATGTTTTCCTGTCTGGTTGAAACCTTTCAGCTCAGAACCCATGAAATAAAAACGTGAGGGTCGAGACTCAAATCGCTGTCCTAACGTCTGCAGTCTTCTTCCAGAAATCAAACACCAGACGTTTTGTGCAGCTCTTCAGTGAACCTTGGGTTGTTCTATAGGAATGTACCAGGAAGGTTCCTGCAGAGGACATTTGATCAGGATACCTCGACGGTATCTTACAGAAGAAGCTCATCGTTGACGAGCTGAACTCAGTCAGCGAGGGCTGGACGAAACGTCACTGGTTCTTCATCACTACAGACGTTTCTCCACTTCCATTTCACCAGCTAAACGAAAACTCGATTTCTAGTTTACTTTGACTTCCAGCATGTGGTGATGAGAGACTAAACTGAGGTGACGCCTCACAAATAAATAAAACCTCTACTGCACATTCCAAGTTTAAATAGTTTTGATACAGTTAATGAACGGAGGAAAATGATTTTACAGCGTTTAGATGAAAAGAAGGCGTATTTATTGGTGGCCTGAGCTACGGTTAGTTGTGCTAAAGCTCTCCACCGACACGGTGTTTAGCAGAAGCTAAGACTAAATTAGACAAACAAAACACCCCAATGAAATAAAACTAAACTATAATAACAACCCAAAGCTGTTGTAAACCCGTCAGGGATGCATCCTGCTTCAGTACATCAGGGTTACAACTTCTGGCCATAAATTCAGCAAAATAAAAGCAGCAGCAGCGCAAAAGGTTTACTTCTCAGGTAAAGTTAGAAACGGTGAATGAAGAAAGCCAGCAGCACGTCGGCTCATCAGCAGGCAGCCACACGCTGATCGGCTGCAGCTTCACATTTTCTCCTCGGAGTAATTAGAGAGCAGAGCGAGTGAAGGAGGAGAGCAAGTTCCAGCAGAGAATCTCCTGCAGGAGCCGCAGCATTAAAACACAAAGAAACACTAAAACCTGTTTACACTGGATTTATGACCCGCATTCAATTTACAGCAGGTTTAATTTCACTAAAATGTTTACAGAAAGAATGTAATTGGGGTTTAATGAAATCTTCATATGTCTGGGAAGAGCAGACAATTCAGCATTTTTAATACTTCAGGAACTAAAATCCTGCCTTGATTTATGAACCTGAATCATCTTGATCCCAGGAGCCGCGCAACGGCTGCACGCCTGCTAGCTGCTAAATGAAGGTTAGCCGTTTTAGATACACAGCGGCCATGTTAGGTGCACGGCGGCCATGTTAGATGCACGGCGGCCATGTTAGATGCACGGCGGCCATGTTAGATGCACGGCGGCCATGTTAGATGCACAGCGGCCGTTTAAAGACTGTTAGTTATTTTGTATCTATGTTGACCATTTTAAATGTGTATTTTCAATTTTAGATGCATTAATCATTTTAGTTGCGTTTGCCATGTTAAACGTGTGATAGCTTTATTGGTGCGCGCCGGCCGGTTCACGTGCGCCCCGGCCGGTTCACGTGCGCGCCGGCCGGTTCACGTGCGCGTTACTCATTGTTTTGGTTGGATGTTCTCCATTTTAGATGCATGTTGGCGATTTTGGATGTTTAACTTTCCAGTTACTCGGATCTGACAGCTTCTGGCTTCACAGTTTTGAAGATTAGTTACTGTTACAATCTCTGACTTTATAAAAACACACTGTGGCTTTCTGAAACACTTGTGTTTACAACTTGGAACACAAAAATAAAGAAACTGAATTCTGAGATCAAGTCAGCAACTTATTTTTCCATCTCCATGGAGAATTTGTCCAGTAAATCAAGCAGAGACTGAAGTCTGGTATCTGTCATGGTGACACTTCCAGAAATAATTCCTCTTCTTCCTCCATGTTTTTCAAGTGGTAGCTGGATTTGATGCTTCCGACTTCGGCCGCCAGATTCCCAAGTGTTTTCTCGCTCTCCAGAGAAAACACTGACAGAACAGTGACGCTGCTGGCAGCGGAAAACGTATAAAGTTTCAACTTTTCAATTAAGGGAGAATAACAGAGTCGTGCTGAACGAAGAGTATGCATTGCTCGACAGACCTTCCCTGCATAAATACTGTACATGTTGAAATGTTGACGGCTAAAACAAATATTGTTGTACGATGATGTATCCGTGTCGCTGACGGATCTGCCACACCTGGCATGTTGCTTCAGCTCCTCCAGACACAGCAAATTAATCTCCTTTGTCCAGAAACTTTGATTTCTGTAGTTAAAATGGAGCATTGTAGGGTCGGAAATCTGGACAAGCCAAAACGGTCGGCTAATCCTTCACATGTTAGCATGCAAGGTCACCGAGCAACAGCAGAAACATCTTCAAGGTGCAGTTAATCCAGGCAGAGGCTGATGCTGCCTTTAGAGCTGAGGAAACCACAGGCTGAAACGATGCTCGTTTTCAGCTGGTTTCTGCGGTCTGCACACAGAAGATGGGAAGTCAAACAGGCAATGCAGAAAAATCGATCATGTCATCGGCTGCAGTTATACAAGATGCCATGAGGCAGATTTTTTATTCTCTGCTATTAAATCTTCTTCACTTGTGGTTTGGAGTTAAAAAGACAGAAGAAGACAAAAGTTCACGTTTCCAGTTCGAAGCCACAGCGTGGATCAGCAACAAGAAAAGACGAGATTGAGCAATCGGGCTGAACTCATCGCCATGGAGATGTTTCCTAACGACAAACCTCTGGAGTTCACGCTCCATGTCAATGTACCCGGTCTGTGTCCTGAACCCCTTCAAAATAAGAGCCCTGAGGCGGGTTCACTGCCTGTTCACGGTCACAGATGTGGCTCTGGAGCATTACATAGGTCAACATTAACTTTCACAAATCAATACTGGCACTTTGTCCCCTCTCACTGTAGTTCAGCAGGGGAACACTCCACATTTCTGACCTTCTGTGGGATTTTACGGTTATTTGTTTAGAGTAAACATGATTTATGTAGGTGGCATCTCAAAAAGGAAAATAAAAATACCATTTCCAATTAGTGATATTTTGCTACCATCCAGATGAAAGAGGTTAAAACCTCGGCGCGGCGGTCTGATTCTAGTTTCATCACTTCCTGCTTCACTGTCCAGTTTCTGACAAACTAAAACTGGTTCATGTTGGACGGGTTGCAGATTGGTGACCATTACATATTTTCTTGGATTTCCCAGTCAAGAGAAATTAAAGGAGAAGCTCAAACTATGTTAAAACTCCAGCCAAAATATAATATCTTTGGTTTGAAGCTTTTGGGTGGACTGGGGAGAAAAAGTGAAGATATTCCAAGTCCGTTTAATGAAAACTCGCTGTTGGCTTACAGCCCGGCCTCCTTCACTTCTTCAATGGTGAAAAGGTTTAAAAAATGTCAGACTGAAAATAATTACTGAAAACTTCATTTGAAACTGGATTTCTTTACCATCTTGTCTTTAACCACTTTGGCTGGACATAATTATTGGCTTCTTCACCTGATGTATTTATTTTTATTACCTTTTTTTTAGCTCCTCCTCCACTCAGCTCCTTCAGACTAGCCGGCAGCAATTAGCAAACACCTGGTGGAGCTGCTAGCTCATCATAGGAGCTGCTGCTCAGAGCAACACTAGTAAAAACGTTAAAGGGTTAATAGAGGAGCCATGCTGGGACGACTTCCTGGAGGCGGAGCTTCAGAAAGAACAGGAGCTTCTTAAAGAGACAGAGGCCCAATTTCAAGGCCAAATTAAATCAGGAAGTAGCATTTCCTTTAAGTCATATTTGATACATGTAGCATTTTATAACAACTGCACTGCAAAAACAAAATCTCACCCAGCATTTTGGTCTAGTTTCTAGTGCAAATAAGTAAACTTGAAATAAGACAAACCAACTTAAAGTAACATTTCATCAATATATAGAGGCTTTCCCAAAGTAAGCAATTCCTTAATTATGATGAAAAAGTTCTATTGGCAGATTATTTAACTTATAACTAGACATTTTCCCATGTTATAAGTGAATGCATCTGCCAATGGACCAAGAACTTTTTCAGTAAAATTATGTAATATTTACTTAAAGCAAGCCTCTATATCTAAAGTTAGTTTGAAATTTCTACTAGAAATTATAAAAGTTTGAATGTAGTTAATTGATTTTGTTGTAAAATGGCACCATGTGCCTGGAAAACACATAAAGCTGCATAAATCAGAAGAACTGGGTAAACTGGGTCAGACTTTTGGCTGAATGTGACCAGAATCCGTCTCATTTATAGCAAAATGCCTCATGAAGAGGATGAACCTCTTACCATTAGTGGGCAGCAGGTCCAAACTCAGGTCCTGCTCCACACTGCGCGTGCATCGGCCGAAGCCCTGGATGAGCTGCTGCAGGGGTAACTCTGCGTCCATGCTGGGGGAGCACAGGAGCCCGGTGGAGCAGCGCGGCGTGTAAACGCCACAGAACTCCCCCTCCAGGCGGGCGCACACGGGGCAGCAGCCGCAGCCCGGCTCCCGCACCATCTCTGTGCACAGCGTGACCTTAGGACAGCCGTCCTGGTTCTCCGCCGTGCAGCGCGGGCATCTGAACACCAGATCCCCACGCAGGAGTCCAGGGAGGGCGAGGACAGCGAGCAGGAGGCCGAACATCACTGCAGCGACTGCTGGGGCGGAAATGAGGCCGGAGTTATCTGATGAACCTGACGATCCGTTAGCAGGTTAGCGGCCGGCTAGGTAAACACGCTGACAGGGTCCTACCTGCTGTCATATTACTGACTGAACCACAGTCAGCTACAACACATCTACTCTGCTGTAGTTTTTACTTTCACTCAAGTCATTTCATTATGAAGTGGTTCTTCTCTTCCTGAGTAAAATTTCTGGATTTTCTACCGAATTAAAACATGTTTGCAAAACAAACATGTTTTAATTCACCTGCAGTTTTTGTTAAAGTTTCATAAGTTTATACTGAAAGAAACTGATTTTGAAAATTTTTTCTTTTGCCTGATTTTGTTATTTATATGAATTATTGTCATTTTGGTCTTTAAAATACCAAAATGTCCTCTTAGCTTTATGTTTTGGTCCGTCTGATGATGTAATTTTTACTCAAGTTTTTGGGAACCGTCCACATCTGGGCAGATATCTTAGTGCAATCTTAAAGATTTCAGATGCAAGAAAAGAAAAGTTTGTCCCACATCTTTCTTTTAAGAACCCCGTAGCTGCGTTTCTATTAAATTGACAATATGAAAATAAATTGCTTTATCAGAAACATGCTGATATAAAAAAATTTGACTCGACTTTAAGCTTCAAAGGTGGTTTTTCAGCCGTGTTGAAATAGATTTCTTTCCCAAACTGCATTTTGCATCGAGTTCAGTAACTGCTGGTGGAAACGCCAAAGAAGACGACAGGAAGTGGAGGAACGATGATGGTGTGTTTGCAGTTTTTCTGGCTCCGGAGCCTTCACAGCGTCTTTGTTTATAAAAAGTTGCATCGTTCCAACGTGTTGAATCCAAAACTCTTCTGCAAAATCGTGTGACTAATTACCACAGCAGCTGCCCAGCAGGGAGCCACTGCAACAGCCTGCTTCATGGTAACAGTGGCTGGTTGGTTGTTGCTACGTAAAGCTTCTGACTTTAAGGCCAGCAGATTGAATGACCTCCACATATATTTACCAACAGCAGCCACAGGGGGGCACTACAGGCAAACACATGGGAGCTCAGCATGCAGCAGGAAATGCATTTATTCTGTCCAAAACATGAACACAGAAAAAAACTAAACTGAATATTAGATGGAAAACAATGAATTTTGACAACATTCATAAATATCAAGTATTTATGCAGTCAGTGTGTTTGTATCAGCTCTACTGTCTGTAAAGTTTTGCAAATGGAGGCAAAAATTAAAAATGGTAACGGTTTCTACTGTAACGGTAAAAACTGCTGTGGAAAGATTTTTATTTTAAAGACCATTAAACAGAAATGGCTTCCAGTCTAACCTGTCCAAAGCATCAACAGAAAACTGGTTTAGGAGAAACAGAACCAATTATGATGCCAGAATTATATTACTCGAAAATGGTCTCAAAATATTTTCATTTATCGCAATAACTTTATCGTCCAGCAGGTAGCCATCATGACTTGGCAAAATAGCTCTCAGTTTTAACTAATAACTCACCTAGTTTCTCAAAATAACCTCAAACTGCAGGAAGTGCAGCTTTTGTAACGTTTGGAGGGGATTTGACTCGGGAATCGAACCGTCTCTCTTCTCGCTTTCCGTTTCCATGACGATAAAAATGGACAAAGGCACCAACGGGCGTCTTTCAGCACGGGTTTCCAGTCGTCGTCCGCTCAGTTTGGAAATGTTTTCTCACGGCCGCTGCGCTGCATTATGTGGGTTATTATGAGTAGCTGCTGCTTAGCAACGCCGCCTGAACGGGCAGCAGTTGAACAATGTGGAAGCGTTTGATTTTCCTCCTGATGCCGAGAGACGTTTGAACCGAAAAATCCGAGATGAAGCCGCTCACTTTTTCCACTCAGCCTGATAATTCAGCGCAGCAGCAGATTAATGAGATTTCAGGGCTGCTGAATATTATCTAACACGTCTGGAATATATGATAAAGTCGGAAGCGGATTAGCCGGAGGGTTTTCCTCCGGAGCAGGAAGCTGGACTGGATCCTTATCCCAGGAATCTGGACGTCACCTTAATAAGCTTTAATGGTTTCTGGCCTGACAGTCGTCATGCTGCGGGCCACAGTTTCCACAGGGTCTCACTCCTAATGGGAGAAGATTTGTTTTCCTGTTCGGCCTCGTCCGTGGCTTCGATCCTCCGCCAGCAGCCATGAAGAGACGTTAAAATAGTTCCACATCGTTTAATAATCACAACAGGCGTTATACATAGCCTCCTAGACCTGATAACTGATGTTTAGCAGCTGGAAATGAGGCTTTTCCGTCCCTGGGGACGAATTTTAACCCCGACTTTTTTGCAGAATTGCTTTAATTCGGCCACATTTGTTGGATTTCAGCCCAGACTTCAACTAGGCCAATCCAAACACTTCATCAGCCTGAGTTGCTGATGTTGGAGTGTTGTTTGGATTGGGACAACAAACAGGAACACTTCGGAGTCATTTATGGGGGAAATTTGGTCACTGATTGACTTTTGACAAAGATTTGAAATGGAAGCAGTGAAATCAAACCGAAAACCTCGGTCTGGGTTCGGTTGACGTGAACTCTGATGTGGTTTGAATGCATGTGAAGGCCACGCGGTCCGGAAGCAGGAAACGGACTACGGCATTCTGGGAAAATGCAACCAAAACGAACAAACGAGCTAATAAAACGCTAGCAGGGGAACTGACTCAGTCCATCTGCAGTTTAGTTTCCATTTGGTGAAGAAGCCGGAGGACTGCTTCCTTCAGCGGTTCTTGGTGCAGCGCCGCCACAGGTGAGGAGGGGAACAGGTCGCTCGACGGGCTTTGATGGTTTGACTCTTTGCAGCAGAAAATGTAACAAATGTTGCATTTTTGGTCCTGAATCCAACCGAATATACCGGACAATCAGACGGTATATTCTGTCTGGTAGTCCAGAATTTTCTTTCTGTCTATGAACATTGGTCTGGAGGTTTATAAAAACCTTCCAAATGATTCAGAAAAAAACTCATGGGAACGAAACAGGATGGGATTTTAATATCCTCAAAGCTCATAAAGTTTTTACATTTTCTGAGATTTTGCCACAAATGAAAGAAATTGATTAACTTTCCGATTGGTTTTCGTCTCTTCAGACCTTCGGACCCTGAAGGGGTGGGCGGGGCTACAGCACAAGGCCGTTGCTATAGAAACGCCTCCTCCCTCTTTCTGCAATAATTAAACATTTTTTGTTTCTTATCTGTTGCAGTCATAGTTCCAACTGGAAACAAATAAAAGCAATGCAAGTGTGGCTGGGCCACTTCTGTTCCAACTGCTTCAAGCAAAGTCATGTTGACCCAAACAAGAAATACCGTTTTAATATCGAGAGATTCCAGAAACGTCATTGTTTCTGCTGCCTTCACTCAAAAATCCCAGTCCCACTGGACTTTCTCCAGCTGTAACTGGGAAAGGCCTCCCAGTCAGAAGTAAACAGGGACATTAAACATGCGGACGCTGTGACTCTGAGGTCATAGTTCATGTATTTTGGAGCTGAGGGCGAAACATGGAGATGGGAAACGGCCAGAACCCGCCTGGGAAAGGAAGCAGGCTGCCCACTGCTGTTGCTCAGTCTAATTACCTCCAGAGGTAAAAACGGACCCATCAGTTGTTCTTCTGACTGGGACTGAACGGGTTTCACTGAGGAAACAACACCAAGCGGATCACAACTGACGAGGTGCGTACTAAATACTTCTATTAAGAACAGATCAGCTTCTTTCATGGAAACAGAAATATTAAACTTAAAATGCTCCGACTGTCCGTTCCCAGCAGACTAGCGTGTGGGAAAGTACCACGTGTTTTTATTTATTCTGATTTTAGATGATGTGGTCGTCCTGTGAGTTAGAATAAATGGATTCAGGATATTTCTGACACACAGATGAATGTTATATTTTCTCAGATGATGCCGTCTGCTCTCCTGCTGACACTTTTAGCCACCTGGACAGGTAATGCTCTCGCACTCAGCCATCATAAACAAAAGAGACACGATAAAAACTTTTGGGCTGGTTTAAACATTTGAAAGCTGTGAGGTTACACTGAGATGTTCTACCAGAACCAGTGAGTCCGGAAACAACGTTGCTTCACTGACCGACGGGCAAAAAGACTCAAGAAAACGACTCAGACTGAGCAGATTAACATGAGGGCAGGTTTACAGCTTCTGCTTCCTGAGCTCTTAGCTAGTGGCTAGCACAGCTGACTTTAGCAATGGTGCCAAATTTAAAACGGTAATCAGAAAAATTTGTTATGCTAAAGTGCTACACCATTATGATATGTAGCAGAAGCTAATGCTAAAGTGCTACACCAATACGATATGTAGCAGAAGCTAATGCTAAAGTGCAAAATTCAATGTTTGTCAATAACACAAATGACATCTTCAACAAAATAAAATTTATTGTTGCGTTGCAGCAAATGACAGTTATCAGATGGTCAAATCACAGATGTGACCATCTGAAGGTGACATGGAAACATGATGTGTGTTGACACATGGTGGATAT